ATGTCACAGTCCATCACTGAGGGAAGTCGGGGCAGGATCTCAAACACAGCAGGAACCTGGAGGCAGGAGCTCTTGCAGAGGCCATGGAGGGGTGCTGCAAACTGGCTTGCTCCTCATGGCTGGCTCATCCTGCTTTTTTCGAGAACTCGGGACTACCAAAGCAGGGACTGAAACCACCCACAGAGAACTGGGCCCTCCCACATCAATCACCAATCAAGAAAATGCACCACAGGCTTACCTACAGGACAGTATGCTAGGGGCATTTTCTCAATTAAGGTTCCTTCTTCTAAAATCCAGCACATATCAAGTTGACATAAAACTGGCCAGCACAATCATAGTGGCCATTTTTTCCTTTTATTCTACTAGTGATACTTATCTTCATGCCACTCCCAATGAGTTGGATCAGCTGCAATCGTCCTTGGGCTCATTTTAATAAGTTGTGAATTAGTAACAAAAAGCATATCCCTGCATTCAGGTTCTTTTGTCGTTGTTCTTGTTTTAGTTGTTGTTTTGGGGTACTAGGTATTATTCTTGGGGCCTCCTTATGCTAGGCAAGGGCTGTACCACTGAGCCACACCCCTGCTTCTGTGTCCAGATCAAAACTGGACACAGTGATTCAATCCAGCTGCTGCCACTGCAGAAGCAGCAACTCCGGCAGCTGGTATTATCTAGAGAAAAGGAGGTCCAAATTTGCTGTGGCACCACAGCCTATTTGCCCATTCTAGTTGGTTTTCCTTTCAATTTTTATTTTAGCCCATTCTTAATTATTTTTTTTTAAACTTTAACTCCCTTCTTAGCTCTCTGCAATGCATACTTATTGAAAATTCTCCCGAATCCTCACCTTCTTTCCTCAGCCTCCAGGCTGCCTTCCCCAGTGCTGCTGGGGGAAGCTTCCTTCTGCCCACATCCAATCTGATGCGAACCTCCGTGAAAACTTCCAACAGCATAACATAAAGACTAGTGACACTGAGCATTGCTGTGTGTGCTGGTCCTCTCTCCTCTTCTCCTTCCCAGAAACCCCATTTCATAAGCTTCTTACCCTCTTCCCAGTATCTCCATCCCTCACCTTCTGTGGATTTCGCAATGTACCCAGCAGACTCAATTGTTTCTGCTCTCCCACCTGGAAAATTCTTAAAATGCTTCCCCAAGACCTTGAGCTATAAAATCCTAACCTTTGCAAAGAGGTCACATTAGCTGGCCCCAAAGTCCTTGACTTTGAGCTGCCAGTGTGTTCTACTTCTTCTTTTTCTCGTCAGTCTTCTATTTAAAGATATCAGCGTCATAATTCTGAAAAACCCCAAACTTTAGTCACTCTTCCTTCTGCATGCCCCTGACTGAATCACATCTGTTATTTCTGCACTCCTGGCCCAGCCTTGCCTAGGTACTCGGCACTGCTTCTGATTAGTCTCTTTGGCCCCTGCTTCCTTATATTCCAGCACATCTGCCCTTGTCTGCTGTAGGAAACATCTGATTGCTCTTGATGTACCACTGTGTCCTAATAGTGTTAGCTTTGTGCTGTTGTGACAAACACCTTAGAGAAACAGTTTTTAAAAATGTGTTCTAGCTTGTAGTGTGGAGACTTTGGTCCCCAGTCAGCTGCCTGTGTTGCTCTGGGCTCAGAGGAAGACGGAATACCTGATGGGGAGTGTGTTATGAGCAGAGTTGCTCACCTCATGGCAACCAGGAAGCACAGAGGCAGAGGATGAGAGGTAGGAGGGGCTGGAGACACAGTCTCTTTGAGGATGTACTCCCCGTGACTGCTTCCTTCATTTAGGTCCCACTTCCTAATTTCCCAGTAATACCACCAAATCAGGAATCTGTCAGTGGACTCACCCATGGATGAAGTCAGAGGCTTTGTGATTTACTCATCAAAAGTCCTGCCTAAGAGCACTGCTGAATCAAGCACTCTGCACCACAGACTTTTGAGGGACAGTGCTCATGGAAATACTGTTCATGTTATAGTCTCCAACAAGACAGCCTTTACCTTCCAATTACAACTGAGCCCCTCCTCCAAGGACTCTTGATCTCCTTTACTAGGTTGCACTCATTCTTTGAGGGAACCACCCCCACAAGCTTATAGCTTCTAGCGTCTTCTAAACCTCAGCCTTGTTTACCCTATGTCCTGGTATAACCTCACCAGGCGGTGTGCTGTTTGGGATACCGATATAGCTCTAGTCTCTAGTAAAGAGTAAGCATTTGATACACATTTGTTGGATACAGTACTGTCAGATAGCCTTTAAAATTTTTTCATACTTTCCCTTCTGATTCTGAGATTAAAAACCCAAATGCGCAATAAAGCCCTGTCAGGAGTTGAGGCGAGCAGGTTCCAGACTCCTCCAAGAAAAGTTCTCCATTGAGTCACTGCTGGGTTCAGACCCTTGATGTTCCAAGATGGGCCATGTTTTCAGCCCCGCTGGGTGTGTTTCTTCTGCCAGGCATCTACTTCTCTCTCTTTGTCTTTCCATGGGAGAAAATTACTCTTCTCTATCAAAACCTAAAAACACAAGCTCTCTCCAGGGTTTTCTCCAGTTCTGGGAATCAACATTAGTCCTTTACATTTTAGGCCAAATGCCCTTTTTGAAGTGTTGGACACAGTGACCCCTGTCTCCTGTGCTCCTCACTCCTGCTCTCACAATTACATCTTTTCTGTTGCGCACCCCCTCCCGCACAGAAGTGACCATAGTGTCTATCACATTATTAAATGGTCAGTTGATTAAACAATGGGGAAGAGGAGCTGTCTATGTGTTGAGTCATGTATCATGTATAGACGGTCCCCAACCCTACAAGGCTAGACGTTGGATCTTTCAGCTTTATGGTGGTGTGAAGGTGATAGTGGAGTTGAAACTGCACTTTGCATTTTGAATTTAGATCTTTTCCTTGGCTGGTGGTGCTGGGTAACATCCTCGCTGGCAATGCTCACAGCATCAGGGACCATCTCTAGTAAGTCAGTTTCAAGAGGAAATAGCAATGTTTTGCAGTTCTCTTTGTGGCTAAGGATTAATACCTAGTAGGTCACATGTAGTGAGTGAGTCTGGTATTTAATGGCACTTTAATTAGTGACATCTTATCAGGATGCAACCCCATCCTCGGTCTAAGAGCACCTGTAGTTGAAGGGCTAAGTGTCCTCTTTATTTTGGCATGTTCAAATCTTTCCCGTCTTTACCCCCAAAATTGTGTCCACCTCACTGTGTTCCTTGTGTTAATAATGCAGCTTCCCTTCTGCTGACCTGAGTCTGGGAGTTGGGAATGATCTCTTTCCTGCTCTTCAGGTCACTCAGGCAGTCACATGACTTATGAGTAGACTTTGTTTCCTATAGGCCTCCCAGGTGCATTGATGGGCCCTTAAATCCCACTGCTCAGAAAGTTCCATCTAGTCATCTGTCACCAGTATGACTGCCACAGGACACTGACACATAGCTGATACCACAAAGTATCTGTCGGGGGAACAGATGGCCTAGGTCGAAAGCATGTTCGAATGCCAACAGGCAACTCTCCAGCCACAGGGTCAAGCTCTCAAGGACTGTGTTTGATGCAGGAGACCAGGGGACATTTTTGTGAAGACATTGTTGGAGACCGTATACCGTGGTTTGAATTCGCCACAATTTTAGATGTAATTTTGCTTTCTGGAAGGTTGGTTTCATTCCGCCCTCAATTCTGCCCAGGAAGCTGGCTTCACTTGTTGTTCTTATCTTAGAAATTTAAATTGGAGTATATTTAGGTTGCTGAAATATGGAAATACCCACGCAACTTGGGAGAGTTTCCTTTACTCTACAGTAAAGGAGGGTGGGTGGTTGTAGCCTTTAAGGAAGATCCATAACCCTTCTTTAAGACTGAAAGTCTTAATAACCTTGTGTTAGTTAATTTTTCATTGCTGTAACAAAACACCTGAGGCAATCAGCTTATAAAGAGGGATACTTTGTTTTGGAGGTGTCAGTCTGTGGCCAACTGCTCCTATTGTCTTGAGCGTGTAATGAGGTAGCAGATCATGGATCAGATGGTGGACGAATGCTGCCAACCCACCTAGCTTCCAGAAAGCAAAGAGACAAGAGGAAGAAGATCTGGAGTCCCAATATCCTATTCAAGGGTACACTCTTGAACTTTCCCCGGTGGACCCCACCTTCTAAAGATTGCACTACCTTCTGATAGCACCGACATCAGACTCTGGGGGAACACTGGAAATCCAAATTATAGCAATGTGGTTATTGGGATCAGTCTGAGTGTCTCTAAAAAGTTCCCCAGAGTTCACGGCTCAGAAACATTTTAAAGCAGGACTCCAGGGTAAAAGAAAGTGGGGAAATCATGAAAATCTAACGAAAGTGTGAGTTATTTTAATGTTGCCCATTTAATAGGAAGGGACCACTCCCTGCCCAGATCTCAGTGCTTCAAGGGTCTCAGTATAGCAGCAGGGCAGTAGGAAGGGGCAAGCAATGGGTAGGAGAGACAGGGGCACCAGAACAGATACAGATGAATGTCTTCTTCCTCCCTTTTTCTCAGCAAACAGTTCTATAAAGGTTACACTTACCATATATTGGTTGAGAAATTACCACACCAACTCTTGTGTGAGTCTTTAGACAGCCTTTGTGGAATCCTGTCACCTGCCAGGCGAGCCCCTGAAACCTTCATCCCCCTTTCCTTCCAGCTTAGCGAAGACTGAGCAAATTTGTGTGGGGTGGTAGCACAGGCCTATAAGCCTCGCCACCCAGGGAGCTGAGACAGGAGCATTGCCTGAGGTTGGGGCCAGTCTGGATGTCACAGTGAGAGCCTGCTTCTGTCAGCATAAGCACATTTGGTAAAGGTGTTCTAGATCTCTAGGATTTGGCTGACTGTCTCCATGCTTTCGGAACACATTGGTATGACTTGCATTCCAAAAGGCAAACAGAGCTCAAGTCACGTGGTTTTATTATCTGTCACCATGGAAAATGCAGGCCATCTGTGAGCCTCCCATTTTAATACTTTCTCCCTCTTCTTTTTATTTCCATCACTTTCTTGGGAAAAACCAGCTGAAGAAGTGGAGAGACTGGCAGCAATGCGTTCGGACTCACTGGTCCCGGGGACTCACACCCCGCCCATTCGGAGGAGGAGTAAGTTTGCCAACCTGGGAAGGATTTTCAAGCCTTGGAAATGGAGGAAGAAGAAAAGTGAAAAGTTCAAACACACATCAGCAGGTAAGGTGGCTGCTGGCCTTGTTCCTCACTGGCTGTTTATTGAGTTAAACCCCATATCTTAATTTGTTGGATTCCGATTACCATCATCTCTGTCAGATGCCAAGCAGAAGTGCCAGCCTTGGAATTGTTCTCACCTTTAATAACTCCTGATATGATAATGAATTGCTTTTAAGTCTCAGCTGCTTTTCCATCTCTCCTGTAGGCTTTTCCTTTTTTCTTGTTGGCTATTTTTTAATTCAAAAAATGACTGCTTTTGTTTGATCTATAAATAATCTGAACTTCGAACTCCACCTTTTCTATAATTGAATACTTTCACTCAAGCCCTGACAATCCATTTCTTATTATTCACCCTGATTTTCACTGCTCCAGTAAAACTCAACACACAGCAGAAAATGACTTATGTATGGTCGTTGGCAGATAAGATCGGGTTATTTCATGGAGGAAGAATCATGAATAAATGATTCTTGGACAAGGCAGGAAAACAAAGTATGGAAGTGAATCCCCACTGCAGTGGAAAGTTAACCATGTGTTTCCTAGCTCTGTGGCCAGCTAGAAAAATTTGCGGTGAGGGGAGAGGATAAGGTCAACCACAAGATGTCATTCCTGGAGCCAGACTGCCAGGGTTCAAGTCCAGGCTCTGATGCTTGCTGGTTATAGGAGCTTGCTTAGTTTATTTACCTGTACTTAAGCTTTCTCATTAATACAGCATGAGGGTAAGAATCAATACTTTACATGAATTTTTATTTCTGGAGACTTGATAAGCAAAACAGGTAGCCATTTTCAAGTACACAGAGATATGGAGAGAAAAAAAATGTATAGAGAATGACAAGGAGTTTTCATCCTCTTGGTTTTAGAGGAGACAGTAGGAAGTCTGTTTGGATTGGATTTGGTTTTGTCACAGTCTTGGGTTGGTATACTCTGCAGTAGGTAGCTTAAACAAGAGAAGTTTATTTCTCACAGGTACAGAAGCAGGTAAGTCCCAGGTAAAGTTGCAAAAATATGTTGGTTTCTTTTGGAGACGTCTTAGTGGCCTGGTCCCTGTCTTGCTGCACACTCATGCACGGAGCAAATGCTGTCTGGGTGTCCTCTGAGGGGGAACTTATCAGAGGCCGCATGATCTTGACCCCTTCTAAACATAGCTAGTCTCCAAAGACCCACTTCTCTACCGAGGCCTAAGGCTTCGCTATATGACCTTGAGAATAACACAAGTTAGTCGGTAGCCCCTTTGTTTCTCTTTGTGAATCCGACACTCCCTCAGCTCTCCTCCAGGCTTCTGTTCTCTTCTTCCACCATTTTCTAAAAGCTCATCCTGTTGTCTCTCCTCACCACCATTCCCTCCCCTGTTTCTTGGGCTTCTGCCCTCTGCTCCACTCACAAGCAAGCCCCTTAAGGAGTGAGTGGCTTCTTATGCCTGAATGTCAGGCCACAGATCTAATAACCTACAGTCCATGCAAGGAAAGCAGAATGAAGACCAGGAAGGTTTTTAAAGGGATGTGGTTCTCATGACAGACACTCCCAGTACCTGCTTCCTGAGCACCGCTGTCAGGGAGCTCTGATTTGCTCATTTCTGAAATGAGAGTGGGCTTCTCATTCTATGAGTGTACAAATCATCGCCTCTCTGAAGCAGTCCCTTCACTCCGACTCTACCTCCTCCTCCCTTTGGATAAATGCAAGTAGGAGGGACTCAGATAACTCGTCAAGTATTAAAAATATGAAAACTTTGCCTGTAAAGCTCTTTTAAGACAGACTCCCAGCCTATAGCCAGTAGACTTACTAACTTTAAATTTGTTTTCCCTGTGCTTGATTTGGCCACTAGGAATGCCATTTACATGTGACTCCTGTCTCTTTTTTTAAAAAGGCACAGCTCCTAAGTGGGCATAGTGTCAAATTGCCCTCTAAATCCGTGTCTCTACCTGTACCTGAGGTCAGCTTTCAGGCCTCACTAGAGAAGTCTCTTTGTGCCATGATTGGTGGCTACTGTAGAAACACAAAGGTCAAAGTGCAGAGAATCAGTGCCGGCAGGGTGCTCAACCATAAAGGGTCATTTATATCACACCTCCTCACCCGCAGCCTCAGAGAACGTCACAGAAGAAGGGGCAGAGAGATTGTCAGAGCCACAGGTCAGGAAGGAATGGGGTGAACTGGCTTCCTCTGTATTTGGCAGGACCACTGTACACATTCATGAGTTCACAGCAGCTATGGCTGCCTGCAGAATAGCTTCACGAAATCAAGCCAGTGTGCACCCCAGCATGGACCAGAAAAGGGTCCATGTTCGTTTTTAAAAAATGGAAGATAAGTGGAGAGGAAATCTAAGTGACATGTAGCCTGCAGGCAACCTACGGCAGAGGACACCAGGACAGAAGAGGAAGTGGAAGTGCCCTCTGAGGACATGTTGAAGGTTGTTAGCTGCTAAGGGAGTCAGCTTTCTTTAAGGTTGCGACCCCTGGTAGTTGGCCATGGTCCAGGGGATGGCTCTGTACCCTAACCCTATATATATGAGCAGTACTAATTGGACTCCGTGAGTTGCTATTTGAAAATGAGAGAACGTGAAGTTAGGTTTGCAGGGTGTAATGATTGAAGGGTAGATCCAGTAGAAGCTAGGGGCAAAGGGGTATGTGGATATGATCAACATACATTGTAGGAATGTAAGACGTTCTCCAAGAATTAATAAGAATATTAATAAAAAAAAATAAAAGACATAGCTCCTGGCTTAGAGAGCACAGCATACACTATGGAACACCTTTTTACCATGATAGATGGATGAGCACACCACATTACTGAAACTATTCTAGTTTATTTGAAATCCCATGTTTCACCCTGTAGCATCCTTTTTTTCTTAATTGGATTCCAGGATGTTATTTATTACTTTTGCAGAGGAAAAACCTTGTGAGTTATTTCTTAGCTCAAAGGGGTGATTTGAGAACATAGGGATAGTCAACAGGACGAGTTGTATATTGGTATATAATTGAAAATGTTGACGTTCGTTCCTATGTTTGGATAAGTCACAAACACAGGAAATATACAAGAGGGTTCCTCCGTTATGAGAATGCGAAATGGTCATCCGTTTTCAGCTGGTGGGCATATATTTGTCTTGTATGTGTATGCTGTTAAAGAAAAGACATTATTCAGTTATGCTCATTGAGGCTGGTAAGACTGGTTCATTCAGGACCATCACAGTAGGCAGTGCAGCCTTTTCAGTGGGGTCCTTCAGTCAGTTTAACCCTGAAGCCTCACACATCCTAGGATGCTGAATGAGGGTGAGATGAGGGTAAGTGGGTGGGTAATGACTCAGAGAAAGCATCTTCCTTCCGGAGTAGGACAAATCCTGGCTCAATCAACCTAAGGATGTTTTTCTGAAACCAGGTCAGGATGATTAATTTTCACTGGAAAGAGGTGTAGTATAACATAAAGAACCCCTCTGGGGAGCAAGGTTGGTCATGTGTTAAAGGTGGAGGATTCTGGCTAAAACTGGATGATGCAGAGAGAAGCACAGAAGCCCCAGATCTTTGCCAGGCCCCTCCACTGCTTCCCTATCCATAGAGATGCGAACAGGGATCTGGTGTGAGCTCCTGCTGCCATGGAGCCACATCCCCACCACAATGGACCTACACCCCTTCACACTGTGAGCTTTTCTGAGTTGTTTCTCATCAGGTGTTTGCTCACAGAACCAGAAAAGTAACTAACTCAACAGTGATGACATTGTTGTTAGCTTTGCCTGTCCATCACAGCTGTGGATATACCTATGGGAGCCATCCTGAGTTGGAATTTTGCCAGATGAGTAAAAAGAAAAAAAGGAAAGGAAAAAAAGGAAAGAGGAAAGGAAAGGAAAAACTAGAGTATTTGTGTTCATGTCTAAGAGTTCCGAAACTAGTTACCATGAACTCGGTGGTATAAAGCCCCAGAAATGTGCTGGCTCACAGTTCTAAAGACCAAAGCCTACCGTCAAGGTACTAGTAGGATTGGGTCCTCCCGGCATTCTGAAAGAAGTTCTTCCACCTCTGTCCTCCTGCTGCTGACCATGCCAGCGTTGCTTGGCCATTCACTATGCTTCATTTCTGCCTGTATCTTCATCTGTTTCCCTTATGTCTCTAGGGCTCAGACCCTTTCCTTTCTCTTACAAGAACATTGGCATTAGGAATAATACCTAGGAATAATAACACCATTCAAAGATGCTTCTGAGCCAGGTATTGTGTCTCACACCTGTTAGTACAGTACTAGAAAGACCTGTTACATAGTGAGTACTAGGCCAACTAGGTGAGCAGAGAGAGAGACCCAATCTCAAAACAACAGCATCAACAAAAATACTTTAACTTTGTTACATTTGCAATTAGCTTTTTTTTTTTTCAAGTAAGTTCTCATTCACGGCCACTAGGAACTTTCACATGCCCTTTGGGAGGTAGCAAGGGTTAAAATAGACATGTAGATTAGGAAAGGGAACACCAGTAGATTGACAGGAGTTGCAAAATCCAATAGACTTCAAGTCCCAGAGAGGTCAAAGAATTTCAGACTATCAGCAGGGTTAGCAGCAGAAGCACCAGGAAGGATGGGGACATGAGGAGACAGAACCCAGATCCTTAAATAAAGGCTCCTCGAGATGGTACTATATGGAAACAAAACACAGGCTAAAACCATGGTATAGACTCAGCTACCTGCATGTCTTCTTTGTAAAATTCCATGCTGACTTCCATAAGACAAGAAACGTTCCTGTGTAGCTTTCAGAGTCAACTATTATTTTTCTTGGTTCACTTTCTTTTTATTTCTCTTTAAATAATTTATTCATTCACTCTACATATCCATTACAGCCCTACCACCTCTCCTCCCAGTCCCACTCTCCTTCCACATTCCTCCCTCCCCTTCGCCCCACCACTTCATGTCAAATCAAGACTAAGAACATCAGGACCAAGTGTGTCCTCTTCCATGAGGCCAGACACAGCTGCCCAGCTAGGAGAAAGGGATCTAGTAGCAGGTAACTACGTCCATGTCAATGATAGCCTCCACTC